ATGGTTCATTTTATATTATTAACACATTAATACTACTAATAATTATTGATAATATCAATTGTAATTGATTTTATGGTATGAATTGGTCTTTTGTTCTGCTTTCATCAGTTCTGCAGAGTCTTTACACGAATCTTAGAAATTATCTATTTCCTCATTTCTTAGAGAACAATTCATATACTACAGCTTATTCAGCTATTCCTCAATTGATGGGCATTCCTTTAGTTCCCTTTTTTTTACCACCACAAAAAAAAAGAGCTAACAGTTTTATACAGTTTTATTCTATTTCTTTGACCATTGGGTACAGGCCTATCAAGGAGTCAGCTGGGTCAAAAGGCCTGCACTGTTCAGTAATTATATTTATGTGGAATTCCAATTTGCTTTCTATAATGACTACACCCATTCACAGGCCCACAAACAGTGCCTGTTTCCCCTCAACCACTTATCATTTTCCTTTTTTGTCATCTTTGCCAACATAATAGGTATGAGGTGGGATCTCAGAATTGCTTTATTTTGAATTTCTCTAATTAGTAGTGATTTCCATAGATTTTCAAGGACTGATAGATATTATGACTTGCCTCTGGGCCATGACATAGATACTCCTATCAAGCATCAATCACTAGCTCAGGTTTCTCATTTTCCAAGTAAATTGTTTTATTCAGAGGAAGTGTGCCTTAATGTTTCTCATTTAAAAAACACTTACTTCACAAGAAACTTTCAATTTGGAAACACATATGTCAATTGTTTTTATTTAAAAACATCATTTTGCCAATGTGAGAATTCCAAACATTTTCGGGGGGGGGGAACCCTTTCCACTGCTTCTTTGGGAAATCACCAACTTTCCCAAAGTGGACAATGTTGGGAGAAATTTAAAAAAAAACCGACCATTGATTCTTTTAGCATGAGTTCGAAGTTAGCAGTTCATCTTTCTGACTAATTATTAACACTTGCCATAAGAGATAAAAACAAGTTATTATTCCAGATTTCTGTAGGGCTACCTTGAGACCAACTTATGTGTAGTTTTCACAGGATCATAGACGTAGAGCTGGACAGAACTCCAAAGGTCATCCAGTCCAATCCCCTCACTTAATACGTGTGGAAACAGACCTGGAGAGATTAAATGACTTCTCAAGGTCAGGTGTTCTGCAGGAGAGCCTTTAAAAGACCATGAGCATGTCCAGTTGATTAAGGGGGATGAAAGGAGTGCACATTCCACTTGGCCTCCCTTAATGATGATTCCTCATTTTTGGACAAATTTTAAGATTTAAAAAGCATTTTGATCACAACAGTTTTGTGGAAAGGTTGTGCAAGATTATCCCATCTCACACATGAGGAACCTGAGGCTCAGAGAGAGAAAGTGACTTGTTACACTGCTTTTACTTCAAATATGGTCCTCTTTAGGGCAGTTAGGTGGTGCAGTGGAGTCAGGAGGACCCGAGTTCAAATGCGACCTCTGCCAATTATTAGTGACTCTGGGCAAGTCACTTAAACATGTTTGCCTCAGTTCCTCATCTATAAAATGAGCTGTAGAAGGAAATAGCAAACCACTCCAGAATCTTTGGCAAGAAGACCCCAAATGGGGTCATGAAGTTGAACATGACCGAAATGACTCAACAGTAGTCCTCTTTCCCTAGCACCATGTTTCCACTTAGACTGAAAGGACTTAAGAAAACAACAAAAACTATTGCTTTGGGTACACCTGTGGGTACATTGTAGCAGCTGTTCAAATGAGCTGACAGAGAGACGCTAGATTTAGAGTGCAGAATGAAACGTAAATAGATGTATATGTGTGTTTATGTATCTAAACATACACAAATGTACATACACACATATATAAAATATACATGTGTATATGTATACACACAAAACTATATATATCTTATATAACCAATGAGGGGATTTGTTTTGCTTATTTGTTATGAGAAATTTGTTTTTCTTTTTTCTGTTTTATCAAGGGGGGCGTAGGAGGGAGAGAAAATAGATTTCTGTTCATTTTTTTAAAATTGAAAATACTAGTGGAGAGTTCTACTAAAGGGTGGAGAGGGAAGGGAATAAGCATTTACATAGCACCAACTATATGTGAGGTACAATATTCACAAATATTTCATTTAATCCTCATGACAACCCTGTGAGGTAGGTGCTGTTATTCTCCCTAATTTACTTTTAAGCCCTTCTTGACTCCAGACCCAGAACTCTACCTACTATGCCACTTATCTTCCTCCTGAAGTGGAATACTGCTTGTACTTTCAGATAAGGCCACTCACTGTATTATTACTTCTGTTTAATTGTTTTGCTTTGCTATAAGAGATCTCTCTCAGAGTGGGAGTGGGTGTAATCTGTAAATATTTGCAAGGTCAATGCAAAACACACTGATAAAACTTGAGTGAAAAAAAAAAACTAATAAACTGGGTTTAATAAAGAATAAACCATTGGGCTACCCGAGGAAAGTAATATTTCACGAAGGGTAATGGATACTACAATTTCATGATAACCTAGCTAGGATTTTTTTTTAATGGATGGCTGAAATTGCTGGCACTCTTGTTTTCATCATATCTCATCATTTTCTTATTTCTGCTAATGGTATCACCATTCTCCCAGTTATCCAGGCTTGAAACTATAATGTAATATTTTACTGCTCCTTCTCCATCACTCTATATATATCACCAGTGGCTAAACTGTGTTTCTCTTTCTTCCTTCTCTTCACAATATCACCACCCACGTTCAGGTCCCTAGTAGTTTTCACTTCAACTTAATTAAAAAAAATATTAGGCATATGATGTATGTGTGTGCACACACATACATGCATGTCACTGTGTTAAGCACTGGAGATACAAAGAAAAAATTAAATAATCCCGGCTTTCAGGAATAAGGAGGTGATAATCCCAGTGTACTCTACCCTGATCAGACCATATTTGGATTACTGTGTTCATTTCTAAATACCACATTTTAAAAGGACATTATATTTTTAAAAATTAATGTTAAAATTGTTTTTACTTGCAATTGGGAAAAATATTATTCCAAAAAAAGGACAAAAAGCTGGAGGACATCCAAAGGAGGGAAACTGGGATGGTGAAAAGTCTTCCGTCCAAGATATATGAGGATCATGCAGGAACTGGGAATGATTTACTTCAAGAAGAGAAGGTTCAGGGAGAACAGGATAGCTGTCTTCAAATATTTGCAAAAATATATGGAAGAGGAGGGGCAGCTAGGTGGTGCAGTAGATAGAGCACCGGCCCTGGAATTCAAATCTGGCCTCAGACACAAAACATTTCTTATCTGTGTACTCTGGGCAAGTCACTTAACCCCAATTGCCACAACAAAAAAACAAAACAAAACAAAACAAAAAAATAATATATGGAAGAGGAATTAGAATTTTTCATTTGGCTCTTCATGTCAAAACTAAAAGCAATGGTGCATATTGCAAAAAGGCAATTTTAGGTTTGACGTGAGAAAAAACTTCCTTACAATTAGAATTATCCCAAAGTGAAACGGAATACCTCAGGAGGAAGTAGGATACCCATCACTAGAGGTCTTCCACCAAAGTTTGCACTACTACTTGTTGGGTATGTTGTCAACAACATTCTTTTTCTGAGAATGGGTTGTACTAGGCAACCACTGAGGTCCCTTCCAATTCTGAAATTCTGTGATTATGTAACATCCTTGAGGATGAGCACCCTGTCATTCATCTGGGTACCATACTCACTGCCTAAAAAAGTGCTTGATATATAGTCTGGAGAATCTCTGGGTTATATCTGAATATACCACTTAACACCACAGCCCGGACTTTGCCTAATGGCCCAGCTTCACATCCTATTCTCCTCCCCAACACCACCTCTGTAGGAAACCCTTGGTTTACACATTGTTCCCAAATATGCCCTACACATTTACAGAATCACAGAACTTGAGAATTGCGAGGACTTCAGAAACCATGTATACAGTTGTTTGCATCTCGTTTCCCCAATTAAAATGTGACCTCCTTGAGGGTAGGTCCTATTTTTTGCCTTTTTAAAAATTCTTCGTGCTTAGCGTGGTGCCTGACATGTAATAAGTGCTTAATAAATGCTTGTCAACTATCATACAGGACAGGAATTTCCTAGCATCCCCACCTGTCTGCTTTTTCTCCAGCTGTTACCCAGACTATTCCTTACTTACATTTTTACTAAATGAAATACAATGCACTTCACCAAAGAACCTTTCTTCCAAGGTTATTTAAGTATGCACAAAATAATTCAATTGAGATGTGTTTAATGAGGTGGAACCAAATATTAAGAAGGGCATTTTATAGGAGGAAATTCAGGCGAAACTAAGCTGAAGTGTTGGGAAACTTTATTAACATGACATATTTGATCTAGCTTTCACAGTCCTACTAATTTAACTCAATTCAGGACTCCATATTCAAGGCAAAGGCAATTTGGGGCTACGAAATCACTTTCTGTTTGAATTAACTCCAGCAATCATACTTGGATAGATGTGGCTCTCTGCATAGTTGAAATAAAAGAAGGCTTCTAGCTAAATGATCTGAAAGTTGCCTTAAGTGGATTCAGGTTAAACTGGAATGAAATTTTTTTTGGGGGTGAATTAAAATTAATCTGACTCTTTTAAGCGTTTGTCCTTTGGAATAATCTATTCCAAAAGAGTACTTCACCAATTAGTGTTTGACATTTATCTAATTAGCTGGTGAGAAAACATATATCCATATTTCCTGGAAAAATGGTATTATATATGTGTATGTGTGTGTGTGTGTGTGTGTGTGTGTGTGTGTATACATATATATATGACATGTGATTAATATGTGGGTGTATACACACAAACATATACACATATATAACACAAAACTTTAAAAAATACAGCTTTCCAGAAACTAAAATTTAAAGTTAGCTTTTCTCTTATTTTAATCCAGTTTTTGAAAAATTAAGAATGAAATGGATTTGTCTTCTGCCCTCTATCCAGTTCTTTTCTTTTGGTAAAAGTAGAAGATTCTGAAAATTCAAGTCTTTACTTACGTGTGAGGGAGAGCAGTCTGGGAGGCGGCGGCGGAGGAGGAGGAGGTGGTAGTGGAGGAGGCCGTCTACACTGGCAGATCTCCTGGCAGCTATCGGTACCTTTTTCTGCAATGGTCTTAGAACATGACTTCTGGAGTTCGCCGTGAGTGATCTGGAAACACAACCCCACCCCAGGAGACTGGCATGAGATTCTGCTCAGCTCAATTCAGGGCTTCAGATAGGGAAGCAAATAGAACGATCTCTCACCTCACCTCCACTTCAATGATCATGTTGGACTTGGGTAAATAGGTGGGTAGGTGGGTGGATAGGGCAGCAGATTGGGGATTCTAGGGGATGATTAGGAGGTGGGTGGGATTCCAAGGAGCCATTTATTTCTCTGTACGAATGACAAGTGGAATTAAACCTGTCGAGAGAAAAATGGGGAAACAGGTACTTCTTGGTCTCTTCACTCCAGCTGTGGTTAAAGAGATAGCCACAATGAATTGATCTGGTTTTTAGATAAATGCCTGAGCAGTAAGATACCTTAGAAATAATGTAATCAAACCCCCTCGTTTTATAGGTAAAGGGACTGAAAGATCACATAACTTGTCCAAGCTCACACGGCTATTAAGTAATAGCAAAGGCTTGAACCCAGACCTGCTGACTCCCAATATAGCACCCTTCTTGCATAGACAGGTAATTTAACTACAGACCCAGGTCAAGTAATTTCTGCTGCCTGCCAACTCTGTCCTTTTCCCATGGGCGAGACTGAAACAGTCTTTCTCCAAAAACTTTTCAGGAAAGCAAGGGATGGGGAAAGGAGGCAACTGAAAAATGGGAGAGTTTTGCAACTCATTCTCCAATTTCAGGAAATTCACAAAAAAGCTTTGTGTCATGATCAACACAATGGTATGGAGTAGGCCGGATTGATTTACAACCCTCACTTAATGTGAGCAGAGGCCAAAAGCCTCCTACGGGCTCACCCTTTGGTTTTTAAAAGAACTACTGACTGCCTTTCAAACCCTGGAAGCCAATCTTGGCTAGTGCTGATAACAGCACATTCAGTATACAGTAGAGATGTTCTCAATTATTTTGCAAACAAGATTAACTCTCTGCATGCCTAAATGTACTTTGGCCACACCTCTAAAAATCATTTTTCCTTACTGTTGTTGAACCTCTTTCCAGTTATTTCATGAGCTTCCTTCTCTGAGGGTTTGCATTCATAAAGCTTAAGAGTGCAAATGAGGTTGTTTGAAAGCTGCATCTTCTTAAGAGTATTTGACCTTTGACTCCCCTGGGAACCATCAAGTATGTTGGCAAATCTCAAGGAACATCATTTCCCCACATAATTAATCTCTGTATCATTCAAAGGGGACTTTGTGAGAAAGCTGCAAGAGTAGCAATGTTAAAAAAAACAAAATCTGACAAGACAATTAAAGGGAGTTGAATGTCTATGCGGGGACCATTTGGTTAAACAATAATTAACTAATATGAAGAAACTAGGAATAGGGGTTGAGTTTAGGTAAAAATATTATGAAATAGAAAATAGGTTGTGCTTCAGGTCTGAAACATAATACAGGAAGAAAAAAGGTCTATAATTCCTGGTTTCACATACAAGCTAGCATTTACATAGCACCTATTATGTTCCAGGCACTTGCTAAGTGCTTTACAAAAATAATCTCATTTGATCTTCACAACAACCCTGGGAGGCAGACACTAAAATTATCCCGATTTTACAGCACAGGGTCACACAGCTACTAATTAATTGAGGCCAGGTTTTTAACTCAGGTCTTCCTGACTCCAGGCCTAGCACTCTATCTACCTAGCTGCCACAAGCCTCTCATCAAATCCCATCACTAGAAAAGGGAAGAACCATGACCTTTTGGTAAGGAATGAGTAATTATACCAATTTGGTCTAGTTGTCATTCACCCTGTTTGACAATATGTTGCATTTTGTAGTTCAAATTGTTGTTATTGTCATTTTTTAGTTATGTTCTACTCTTTGTGACCCCACTAGGAATTTTCTTGGCAGAGATACTGGAGTGGTTTGCCATTTCCTTCTCCATCCCATTTTACAGATGAGAAAACTGAGACAAAGAGGGTTCAGTGATTGATTTGCCTACGGTCACACAGCTAGTAAGTGTCTGAGGTCAGATGTGAACTCACAAAGATGAGGCTTTCTGGTTCCAAGCCCAGGGCTCTATCTACTTTGCTCCCTTGCTGCCCTGTACTTCAGGTACACATGCACTAGTTAGTAGTGAAACTACCTTTCTTCTTCAAGAGCTAGGTCCAGTATTGGAAGGCCCAGCTTATCTGCCTATAGCTAGTGTTAGTTTCACTGAGTTGAAGAGTTCTTTCTAACTTGACTTTGGCCTAAGGTCACATAACCTGTTCTATTACCTTCTCTGATACTATTCTGAAGTTTGAACACTAGAAGGATAACTCATTCCTATCATTGTAGAAAAAGATTTACATTTGCTCCGCTAGTCCCCAAGCACACAAGTGTGCGTGATGGGTGCCAAAGGCAGGGAGGCAGTTACCAACTTGTTAAAGAGAGAAAGTCTTAACAATCAGGACTGTTAAAAAAAAAAAAGTAAAGTGAATGGCTTCAGGGGGTAGTGAGGTCCCCATCACATAAATCTTTAACCAGAAGATAGATAACCACTTGGAGATGTTATAAAAGGGATTCCTGTTCAGGGTTGTGTAAGACTCAATGACTTCTGATACCTCTTTCAACTCTGAGATTCCGTGCTTCCAAAAACCAAAGTGTCCTAACTCTTGGCCTAGTGTTCATACCATGACACTCAACTAGGCTACCTGGTTTCTAGATTCAGGTACAGTCTTCAACTTTATATGGTATGTGCAAACCTTGGGCTATATGCTGGATAAAGGCATAAGGACTTGGGTTTTTGGAAGCTCCGTGTGACCAAGACCTTGAACATAAAAAGCACTTAATAAATGCTAATTAAATGAGCTCTATTCATACCTCTCACAGGGGTATGCCTTCCAAGTGTGTCTCAAGAACAGTCATCAGAATATAAAGGCTAAAGGCAACTGATTGAAACAAATCACATCGACAAGAACTTTAAGGAAGAAAATCACAAAGATGATGGATGCTGGCATCTTAAATAGGAGGAGGGCAGAAACACTGTAACTTGATGAGACACGAGCCTGTCAAACCCAATAATTTACTGTGATGTCCTGCTCTCAGTTTGCAAAGGAAGAAGTGAATTCATCATTTTTGAGAGATCTAGAAAGACTCCTAAATCATAAAAGCAGAAAGTATTGATGCTGGTAGAGAGAATAGCAAAGGATATGAATAAATAGTTCTCAAAAGAATTGCAAGTTAATAACAACCATATTAAAGACTGGCCCAAATTACTAATAATAAGATAATGCAAAATAAAAAAACTCAGCTTTCAATTCAGACCTACAAAATTGGCAAAAATGACGAAAGATGGGCTGTATCAAAGTGGGAGGAGTTGTGGAAAATCAGGCACGCAAATGCACTATTAGTGGAGCTGTAAACTGGTCCAACCATTCTGAGAAACTATTTGGTATCATGCATATAAATTGTCTAAAATGTCTCAGAGATTCCATTTAGAAAAGAAGGTCCCTCATGTACCGAAAAATTTATTGCAGCACTTTTTCAAGTAGTGAAAAAATTGGAAACAAAATAGATTTCCATTGATTGCTGAATGGCTAAACAAATTGTGGTATATGACTGTAATGGAATATTACAGGACTGTAAGAAGCAATAAATATGATGAAGAACCATGGGAAAATGTATAGGAAGTGATGTAAAGTGAACCAGAACCAGAAAAACAATATACAGAATGACTGTCATCGTTTAGTCATTTCAGTTGTGTCAGACTCTTTGTGACCCCATTTGGGGTTTTCTTGGCAAAGATATTGGAGTGGTTTGCCATTTTCTTCTTATGATCATTTTACAGATTAAAAAAAAAATGAGATAAACAGAGTTAAGTGACTTGCCCAGGGTCATACAGCTAGTAAGTGTCCAAGGCCAGATTTGAACTCAGTGTCTCCCTGACTCTAGGCCCAGCACTCTACCCACTGAGTCACCTAGCTACTCCACAGGATAACTACAAAGATGCAAATAGGAAGAACAACATGCAAACAACTGAAACAATGCTTTAAGATCATCATGGCCAAGGTTGACCCCCAAAAAGAGATATGAGAAGGTACCTCTGTCTGTCTTTGCAAAGGCGGAGGTCTCTGAGTGTGGAATTCTGACTGTATCATTTCTGCTGTGTTGGTTAGTTTTACTTAACTTCCCCTCCCCTCCTTTTTATTCTTTGTTTTAAGGCTTTAGGGGATAGGGAGAGAGAAATATTGGGAAATGTAGATGTTGTAAAAATATATCAATAAATTATTTTCAAACAATACAAAGTGTTCTGGGGTTCAGAAACCTGGTTTGAGTCCCAACTCTGCTGTTTGCCATGGACATGTTTTAACTTCTCTGAGTACTGGTTTTCTCATAAGTAAGATAAAATAGGTAGACTGGACTAGGTGATCTTTAGGACAGGTAGGTGGCTCAATGGATAGAGTACTGGACCTCTAGTCAGGAAGACTTGAGTTCAAATCCTTCCTCTCACACTTAGTAGCTGTGTGACCCTGTCACTCCTGTCTGCCTCAGTTTCTTCAACTGTAATGGGTATATTAATAACATCTGCCTCACAGGGTTATTGCGAGGATCAAGTAACATAATATTTTTCAAGCAAAAGGCACTGACTAAATGCTTGTTCTCTTTCCTTCCACTTTTTAACTATGTTGGATAACAACTAAAGTGAGGGAATGAGAAGGAATGACCAAGAAACACCTTCAAAATGGTCTATCCTCTAATCAAATATCAGCCAATTTTATATTTTAAAAATGTCCTTTAAGCTGAGTAATTTCTATTCAGAGTTTTCTTTAATGCTGACTTTGAAGCAAGAATTGGTTATAATAGCAGGCTGGGGAATCTCTGCTTTCCTTTCTAAAGTCTATGAATTCATTCTTTGCAGCCTGCCCCACCCTTTTACATGCTTACCACTTTGGAAGAATTCCTCCCCCTGCAAACTGCTCATTAATGAGCAGACAGATCTGGGCAGTTCTCCTTTTCTACTAGAGAAGCTCCAGAGTTGATAGATTTTTTTTTTAATCACCACAAAAACACATGGCTCTGGACCATTCTATTTGTCCCAAGTTGACTTGCCTTCAGTTCCTTTACTTAAGGTCGTATCAATTCATTCCAAGACCTTTGCTTACTTGGCCCCACCAACCCTTGTGCTCTCGTCATTTGTAGATTAGTTTTTTTCCAGAAACTTTAGCCAAGTTTACACCAAATTGGCCTGTCTGGAAGCTGGTGCTTCTTCATAATCCAATTTAATTAAAATTGATTTTTATTTTGTTATAGTACCTGAAACTCTTGCAGAGATTTACTTGTATAACTTACTGCTGGCCTAAAGACTATAAACTAACATAATCAATTGCTTTCAAGTAATTACCTTTTTTGTTTAAAAAAAAAAATGAAAAAGCATGTACTTTGTCAGTCCTGCCACTACTGCAACCAAAATTCTAGACCTATGGGAGCTGACAGTTTCATCATTTTTGCTCTGTCTATGGGGGGGGGGGGGGGGGGGGGGGGGGGGGGGGAGTGGAACGAAAAGGAAGCCTTCCAGGGAGTAGGAGACAAATCGTAAACAAAGAAGAATTAACCTTTTAGTTCCAGTCAAAGCTTACAGAAGAAAAAAATACATTAGGTATTTAAAGTGTATAAAGTGATAAAAGCCCACAATCTGAATAGTAATGTCTCAGTGAGAACATTAGAGCTTGAGAAAAGAACCTTAGGCACCACAGAATGTTAGAATATAGACAGATCAGAATGTTAGACACAGAAAGTTAGAGCTGGGAAAGAACTCTGGCCATACCCAGAGACTGTTACAACTGTGATCTTAGAGTTTGGTCTAACTTCTTTTTATAGATTCGGAAACTGAGGCTAATTAGCAGTACAGATCACTAATCCGGGTCCTCTAGCTCCCACTCCAGGGCTCTTTCCACTCTACCAGATGGCTTCCTAACTATTAACTTATTTCACAGGTGTGTCAACTCTAAAATGAAAAACAGCTGGGTTTTTCCCTCCAACCTTTTCCATGAGGTTGGGATAGGGGAAAAGGAGAGTCAAGACTGGGGAGTCTTCCTCTTATCAATGCCTCTCTCATTTCCTGGCAGACATATTCTGGCAGCAAAACAATTCCTGGTTACACCAAAATTACCAGCAAGGTCACATCACACCATATTATCATCAGAGCTGGAGTAGACAAGCTGATTCAGCTTTTACATTTAGCTAGTTCTCAGACTGGAATCACATGATACCGAAAGTCTACTCTTTGACAAAATCCAATTAGGAGAGTTTCTCCAAAGCCTGTTCCTTTAAACGCTCATGTACTGTAAACATCCTAGCCTTCCCTGAACCTCTGCACATATGCCAGATTTAATAGAGTGGGGTGGGGGTGGGAGGGTTAAATGTCCAAGAGGCAAATTCTTAGTTAGGAAGAGACACATTTTTATGTATCAAATTTTGTGTTATGATTTCTGAACACGAAACAATTTTTTAAAAGTGATTTGTCTAAATTGCAGGCACATGTAAGTTCATACTCAAGAATACAGAAATCTGAAGAGCTAAAGGTGCACACAATGGATATAAACATAGGTTACATACATATCAATCTATAACTCCTATAGTTCACTACAGTATATGTGGAAAAGGCCCTTAATTTTCCCCCCTTGATGCTAAATAAAATGTAAAACGTAGTAATTTTGTTTCACTAGAACAAATTTTTTAAAAAAGTTTTTTGAAACCCAGGAAGACTCAACTTTTAGTCTTAATGGAACAAACATAATTATCAGAATATTTACTAAGGTTTTCCGTTTTGTAGCCCTACTCTTTAAGCTGCCTACAGCCTAGACCAGGAAAGGACTGAGTTTTCACAGTGTGTGTGACAAAGAAACCCAACTCCAGAACCCAGAGCACTGTTAGAAAAACCTGACTTTTCTTTACAACAATATGCTTTAAAGCCACTTAATGAAACAAAGATGTCGGTGGTCTTGTTATTCCCATCTTCATGATTTTTCCTTCCTTCTAGGGCTAAGGTAACTTTAGGATGTCTAGTATTGTTTCTGATTCTAAAGTCGACCTTAGTTATGTATCCACCCCGTTCAGCTAGGAGAGCCTGAAAAACAGCCTCTCTCCAAAAGCTGGGAGAAAAGAGATAGCCCGTGGGGATCGTGGAACCTTGCAGGATCCCCAGAGCAGCCTTCTCAGAAGCCTCTGCTCCACCAAAGCACCTCCATAGCTCAGGCCACTTCACAGCTGAAGAGAGAAGAATGTGATCTTCCGTCCTTTTTCCCTCGCTCCCTCCACCCCTCCGCGGTTGCTCGGGCACCCTCCTAGTGAGCTCACCTGAATGAAACCCCAGAGCGGGTGCAGCGCACAGTGCAGCAGCAGCGAGGGCCAGCAGCAGCGAGGGCGAAGCATCCAGTCCCAGATCATCATCCCTGCTCGAGCCGCCCAGAGCCCAACTGCCAGGAGGAAAGAGGGCCAGGCGGAGGGGTCAGGAGGGAGCTTGGGGACACACGCTCGCGAGGCGCTCTCTAGTGCTCACGCACGCACACGCACACACACTTACACGCGCACCCAGCTCCCGACACGCTCAAACCACCCACCTTGTATGCACACTCACATTACGCATACACACTCACTGCAAAACACCCGGGGACAAGACACACGAGACACACCTACTCTCGGCACACGCGCGCGTGCACAGAGCTACACACACACACAGCCCCCTATTACCTCGCGGAATCGGTACTCCAACGTTTCCCTTCTCCAACCCCTCGCCCCACAAACTCCTCCAGCCCAGAGGCTCCAGCAGGAGCTCGGAGGCAGGGAAGGAAGGGGTGTCTCCACCTCCCCATTCTCCCTCCTTCCCAAGCAGCCGGACACAGTTCCGTGCAGAAGTCTGCCCCCCTCTTGGCGCCTACCCCTCGCTCTACCGCTTGTTCCCCCACACCCTGCTCACCCTGGGGGTGGCCGCGTGTCCCCGGGAGGCGGCGGCGATGTTGGCGACAGCTGAGGCTGCAGGAAAGGCTTTACATGCTGGGGAGGCGCGCGGGGCGCAGGTGCAAAAGTTTGCGGCTGCAACGAGCGCCGCGCTCTGCTTCGGCCTCCTCTGGGTACTGAGCCGGAGCCCCGGGGCACGGCCCCCTCTCATTGGGGGGCGTCAGGAGCCGGCTGCGGCCCAGGGGGAGCAGGCTGTCCCTCCTTCAGTCCTGGTATTGTGCGATGTCTCTAGCCTGAGCCTGCCTTCTGTACGTGTAGGTAGTAGGAGAAAAAAGGCACACACGCAAAAAAAAAAAAAAAAAGAAAGAAAGAAAGAAAAAAAAAGAAGAAAGAAAAAAAAGAATGTCCGGCGAAATGCGGCCGGCTTGGTCCAAGCTGCAAAGACTCAGAGAATGTTCCGCTTTTTCATCTCCAGGAAAAACTGGGCTGTAGGTAGGGGAAGTGCAAAAGAAAGGCGAGGAGGAGAAAAATAATAACAAAAAGTCACCTCAAAGATTCCCCACAGAGGCAAGTCCTTCTCCCAAAGCCCTACCCCGCTGGGCTCTGGCTGGCTCCGATTCGGGATCCTCTGCCCTCGCGCCCGAGTGGTCCGAGACGCCCTCCCTTTAAAGTCTCGGCGCAATGCCTTGCCTGGCGCTTGGGTCGCAGCTGTCCATCACACAACCCCCCCAGGGACACTGCGAGCACAGGCTAGAGAAATTGCTTCGGTGGCGAAGAGCCACGGGGTTGGTTGCTGGGAGGACAAGACTGGGGGAAAGACACAAGTAAAGACGGGAGTGGGAGGAGGAGGAAAAAAAGGAGGAGGAAGAGGAAGAAGAAGAAAAGGAGAAGGAGGAGGGGAAATAATGAAAAAGAAAATAGAAGTGAGTGGAGCCAGAAATTCTTCTCCCTAGAATGCCTGTGATCTTCGCTTTGGCTGCTGCAATGATTTTTCATCCTTTCTACTGAGTCCATTGTGTATTGGACTCTTGCTCAGCGTCTATTTTTTATTCTTACTATTACCGTTGTATAGAGGGCTTGCACCGTGATCACACAATCCCCAAGGGTTTCTTGTTCTCCCTTTAGAAAGCATTGTTAGCAGGGTGGAACCTGATTTGTGACATCTCCTATTTTCCCCCAGCAACATTCCCAATTGCTCTTTCCTCTCTGGTGGTATAATGGAAAGGTCACTAGATTTATCATCTTCCACTTACTAAAGGTGCAACCCCAAAGCGAATCACTCTACCTTTCTAGCACCTCAGTTTCCTCATTCGTAAAACGACGCCCTGAGGTCACTTCCAACTCTAAAAACCCTATGATCCTGCTCGACCTCCCACCCCCCACGCTCCACCCCTAGACCTGTTGGCTAGCTGTGCATGGGCAGCATTTCGATCCCTGTGTCTTTCCTGGTCTCCTAGACAACTAGTGGCCTGGTTGACCTTCAGATGGCTGAAGGATTGATTCTCATAGAATCTCAGTGAAGTCAAGGACCTCAGAAGTCACACCCAACAACAAGTGGTCATCTAGCTACAGCATGAAGACTTCCAGAGAAAGAAACTCACTCTCGGAAAGCCATTCCTTGTTCGGAAGAGAGATGGAGCCAGAGATTGGAGAGGAGAGGGAGTGGTCTAAAAGAGGGCATTAGAAATACGATGAGGATCAAGTCAGCACCTTATCTTTTCTTCTTCTTTTCTTTTCTTTTCTTTTCTTCCTTCTTCTTCTTCTTCTTCTTTTTTTAGCATTAGGTTTGCATTTAAACATCTTTACCATCATATCTCTTCATGGAGATCTAAAATGATGTCTCCACCAAGTTCAATTCAGTTCAACAAACATTAAGTTCTTGTCCTGTGAAAAGTGCTGTGCATACAAACCTGTACCATGACATCAGTTATAGTTTACTATTTAATAGAGGAAATAAAACCCACTCCCCAGCCTTTTTTTCTTTTTTCCAGACATTAGATTTAATTGATGTAGTGAACTCTGTAGGAGGAAATTACCCAACCAATGCAGATAAACACCTCGGCAACTTAGTTTTAGAAACTTGCTAGAGGCATTGAGTGGTTTAGTGACTTGCCCAGGGTGGCTGTAGATTTATAACTTGAATCCAGGTTTTCCTGAGTTTGAGGCCAGCTCCCTGTCTACAACACCTAACAGCTTCTCCCTACCCAACCTGAAGCAATATTAAAGGAGAATATGCCACCTGTGTTGTTCATCTATATCTGTTGAGCACAAACTCCAAAAACGTCGTAGATTACAAAGTTGGAAGGAAGCTGAAAGGTTGTCTAGTTCCTCTTTCCATAAAAGGAATAAACCTGCATTACAATATTGCCAACAGATAATTCAGCCTCTGCTTAAACACCTCCTTTGAGATTGGAACTTCACTGTCTATGGAGGCAGTCTCTGTCATTGCTGGACAGTCCAATTGTTAAGAAGTTTGTCCTTATATTGAGCCAAAAACTGCATCCCTAGTTTTGCCTTCTGTTACCAAGCAGAACAAATCTAATACTTTTCCCACATGATAGCTTTGAGATATTTGAAGACAGCTTTCACTTCCTGTGTAAGTCTCCTCCTCACCAGGCTAAAACATGCCCAGTTCCTTCAACCAATTATATGACATGGTTGGCAGTAAGGGAGTAACTAGGGCAGGGTAATCAAGACTTTTGCCTCAGGCATCCATATGGTGGAACACTTTTTCCTCACAGCAGTCTAGAGACCTCTGTCCTCATGCTTAACGATCATCCACTTCTCTGTGTCTTCATATTTCCTTGCTCTTGGCACATTTGTAGCCACATTCTGACTGTCTCTCTGGGGGCCTGCCTATGCCCTACCTCCCCTTCAAATGTATTTGTCCCTGATGCCAGGATTCCTAATTACTGCTCTGTTTTCCAATCCTTTTCCCCATCCTATTTTCCCTCTTCTGTATTTGCTTAAGTTTGTCAATGTCCTTCCTAAAATATAGTGCCTAAGACAGGACACAATACTCCAAATGTGATTTGACCAGAGACAAAGGACAGTGGTATATCAGCTTCTATATCCACAACTCTCTTCTTCAAGAATTACACCAAGTAAGTAGCTTGGTAATTTAAGGCATTAAGCCTTATATAAAAAATGTTCTCCTTCCTCAGTTGCAGCAAAATCAATAAGACAGGCAAAATCATATACGAATCAATTATATTTTTATATCTAAAACTCATTAAAGGTCAATGGGAGTAAATTATTTTTATTCCAATAAAATACAAAATATATTGCGAGTACATATGGCATCTTCTTCCTTTGGCAAAGGCTCATCTTTTTAAGACCAATATTTATCCTATGATGCCACATAACTACCATAATAAACTACTATCATAAACTACCATTAAAGTTTCTCAAAAGGCAATGGAGAGATACATGGTGAGCATAAACAGACTTTGTCATATTAAAGTGAAGAACTTTGAGGCAGAAGGGCATGAGATTTTAAAGAGCTGCATAATCATTAAAAGAGGTGGGCCAACCAATCAATAACATAGTGAAATAATAGGACAACAAATGGACAACCAGTGGACTCCACTGGTGTACGTATAATGACAAAATAATCTAATCAGTCAACATGTATTTACTAAGCACCTAATATGTGCCAGGCACTGTGTTAGGTGCTGGAGATACAATTACAAGGAATGAAACAATCCCTACTCCTAAAAGAAGAGGCAGCTACGTGATGCAGTGGATGGAGCACTGCACCTAGAATCATGAAGACCCAAGTTCAAATCCTGCCTCATGCACTTATTAGAAGTGTTACCCTGGATGAATCATTTAACCTCTGTCTGTTTCAATTTCCTCATCTGTCAAATGATGATAATAATAGTATCTATTTCCCAGGATTGTTGTGAGGATAAAATGAGTTAATATGTATAAAGCTCTTTGCAAACCTTAAAGAGCTGTATAAATGTTAGCTATTATTAATAGAAAATATCAAGTACATACATAAATATGTACAGTATAAATGTAAAGTGAATAGATAGAAATATCAACAAAGTAGTTAAATAAATGCAAGGTGATTTAGGAAGGAGAGCATTAGCAATTGAGGGGATCAGGAAAGGCTTCATACAGAAGATTGAGTTTGAGCTGTGTCTTAAAGGAAGAGAGGGACTCAGAGAAACAGAAATAAAAAAGGACACAGATTCCAAGTATAGGGGATGGCCTGAGGTTAGATATGGAGAGAGGGTCTGGAGTGTTGTGTGTGAGGAACAGCCAGTTTCACTGGATCACAGAAGGCGATAGGTGAAGGTAACAGTCCAGTGAGGCTGTAAACATAGACTGAGGCCAGGTATTGAAAGCTAAATAGAAAAGTTTATATTTTATCCTAGTGGCAGAAGGAAACCACTGGGGTTGATTGAGTAGGAAAATCACATGGTTAGATCTACTCCTAGGAAAATTATTTTAGCATCAGTGTGTAGGATGGACTGGAGTATTGAAAGATAAGGCAGAGAGACCAATTAGGAGGCTGTTGCAATAATGTAGGTGAGAGGTGATAAGGCCCTGAACTACAGGGGACAGCTATATGAGTGGAAAGAAGGGGGTGGATATGAGACAGGTTGAGGAGACAGAAATGGCAAGATATGACAACTGATTGAATATATGGGATGAACGGGGGAGTAAGAAGTCCAGGAGAAGGCTGAAGTGATGAATCTGGGAGTCTGAAGGAAAGTGGTGTCTTCAATAGAAATAGAAAAATTTGAGAAAAGGAAGGGCTGGGGGAGGGGGACAAGGCAATGAGTTCTGTTTTAAATATTTCCAGGACATCCAGTGTGAAATGTCTAATGGGTAAATAGTGATGCTGGATTGAAGCTCAAGGGAGAGGCTGGGGCTGGAATACAGATCTGTGAGTCACAAATAGGAACAGATTAGATGAGAGAGAGACACAGACAGACAGACAAAGATAGACACAGACAGACAGACAAAACAGAGAGATAAAAAGAGACAGAGAGACAGAGAAAGATAGATGCACAGAGACAGGGAGAGATAGAGACAGAAACACAGGGAGATAGAGATAGGAAAAGGAAGGAGAGAATAGAATGAGAGAAAGGAAAGAGAAAGGGAGAGGGAGAGGGAGAGGGAGAATGAGAGAGCATCAGAGAGACAGAAAAAGACAGAGAGAAAATAGTAGAGAAGAGGAGGGCTCAGGACAGAACCTTTGGGAAAACACAGTTAAGAGGAATGATATCGACCAAGGGTGGGGAACCTGCGGCCTTAAGGCCACATGTGGCCTTCCAAGTCCTTTAGTGTGG